GGTGGGGTCAGCTCAGTCGCCCAATGCACACTGAAGCACAAATATCTTAATGGAGGATTTCTTCTAAGAATTTATCCTCTAGGTATCAGAAAAGGATAATAAACATCTCCGAGTATGCTAAATGAAGCATTGCTTCTTGGAGCTCCCTAAGTACCCATCAGGGTGAAGCGGGAAGGTGTTTCAAGGAGAGAAGTTAAGTTGCGGTGCAGCTGTATAATCATGATTTGGTCTGTATGTGAAAAACAGAACTGCATCTATCAGTTTGGGATTGTGCTAAACTACTGGTAAAGGTTCGTAATAAAAGTGGGCTTTCAAAGATTTCCTTTTTCTCCCAGGAAGACAGATGTTGGTGTAGCTCAAGGTTGGTGTGTGCTGATGCCCTGGGTCATTTTGGGATCCAGCCTCCCGTCTTTCTGGTTTACCAGCATAACTAAGGGTTTTCATTTTCAAGGTTACCTTGGCAGTCGAAGCTGTTTGCTGGAGCACTAGCCTTTGTGTCCGTGGTGCGTTAGGAAGAACAAGGAAAGATACAAGGGTGAACATAGAACCCTTCCCACCTAAGGTCATCTCCCTCAGTCTCCATCCCAGAAATCCCACACAACACCTCTCAGTGCATCCCATCGGCGAGGTATTGGTTACTCTGAGACCACACGCAGCCACACACATATGTAGGGGATCACAGTCTTTTAAAAGGAGTCCTGGTGGCACAGTGGGTTACACGTTGGACTGCTAACGGTAAGGTCAGCAGTTTGAATCTCCCAGCCACTCAGAGGGGGGAAAGATGACGCTTTTTGCTCCTGTAAAGATTTACAGCCTCTAAAAACCACACGGCTGCGCCACAGGGTCGCTGTGAGTAAAATCGACTCAACGGCAGTGATTTGTTTTTAGTCTTTATTCCACGGCTTGAGGGTAGTTGTGAGGACAGCCGCGACCCTCTTGCTAGGGGCGAGGGAGCTCGTGGCTGTCAGGGAGCTGTTAGCAGTACTGCTCTTGCTGTGTGTGTGCATGTGCGCGCTGTTGGCCCAGGGATCCATGAAAGGACGCACAGGGGCCTGTTGGCGAATGGGATGAGGGAGTAGAATGGGAAGAAGGATTTGAGGTTCGGGAGTTAAATAGAGCATTTTACCTTCTTCTGTTTTGTACTGCTCCTTTTGTAAAATGAGCATAGTTCACTTACTTTATAATAAACAGACAAGCAAAGAAGCGTCTGGGTCGCTCATGGAACTCTCTGGGAGCAGACAGCCTCGTATCCGTCCGTGGAGCACTTGGTGGTGGAGCACTTGGTGGTTTCCGCACACCGACCTCGTGGTTAGCAGCCAGTGCGTCATCCCCCGCCACACCCCGGGGCTCCTCCGATGGCAATAATTGTTTTAGAAAGGAAGGGCTGCGGATGACCATGAGAGCCTGCACTCTGTTTGCAGGGTCCGCGTGGCTCAAGCCTCCAGGGATCCCCTGATGGTTGCATGGAGTTGTGAATAGCCTGGCTGGAGAGAGAGACTGCTTTGGAAAGCTGGTTAATGCAAATGAGTTAGGGGGTAAACCCCAGCACCTTGCATTGTCTCCCACTTCCCTCCGTTTACATTTGTTTTAGCCTTTATTCTCTGCTTTCCTTTTGATCAAGGTTTTGTTCTGTTTCATTTTGTTGGTGATGGTGGCATTTTTTGGTTGTTTTGTTGTTTTTCTGGATACGGAATCCAGGACAGGTAAATCTATAGAGACAGTAACTGGATTGGCAGTTTCTTAGGGCTACGGCAGAAGAGGTTGAGGGGGGAGGTAAGGCGCTAATAATAATGAGCACAAGGATGAAGAATAGGTCCTAAGATTGATTGTGGCGATGATAGCACAATTCTCTTGAATGTTAAACCATTGAATTGTATGATATATAAAACTATATGTCAATAAGACTGTTAAAATGTCTTAAAAAAAAAAAAAGGAATTTGAAGGGACCAGGCAGGCTGCTTCCCTGCATCCACATGCAGGTTCAGTTCCCCGTCTGTCCCTCGGGCTCACTCTTGCTACCTTCAGGGCCTGTGCAAGTTGAGAGGCCGTGGCAGGGAGTGGCTCTGACCCGGTGGCGTCCAGGTAACTGAAGTGAGGCCGTGGCAGCGCGGCTACAGGGTTTCCCTCTCATGCGCTGCATTCTTGCTGTCTGCTCGTTCCTTCTGCCTGAACAACTTCTTCTGCATCTCGCCTTGGAAAAGTCTGTTGCTCAGCCCCCCGTGTGGAGGTGCTTATTCCACACTCAGTCACGGCCCCACGTGATTGTCCGTCTGTCTCTCCTTCCAGTCTCGTTCTTTCTGAGGTCCTTTCTGCTTCCAGGCAGCTGCATTAGCTCCTTTGTGCTTTCGGTGAATCCTACACATCACCCTGGAATTCACCTGGCATTGCACCCCCCAAGACCCCAGGGATTTCCTCAAGATTGTATGCGATGTCAGCATCCCCATGGGAACTCGGACCGCAGAAGTGATGATGTCAGGGATGGTGTTGGAGAAGGGGTGTGGACACTCAGATGCACATTCACATCCCAGCTACTGTTTGGAGAGGAGTCTCCTGTGGGAGGCAGGTGACGTTAGCTATCTCACCCTGGGGAAGTCCAACATCAGAGTCTCCCCGCTTGTGTGGGTTTGAGACGTCATGGGAAGTTGGGAGGAAAATTCTCTATTGTTGAGGGGCCTGGCAGGGAGGGATTTTATTTTCCTGCTAGAAAGGGAAAAGATGAAGGGTTTGTTGTTGGTGATGGGACTCCCTAGGGCTTTCCTTACTTTCGGGGACTTTGTAGAAAACGGAACTGTGTGTGAGGTGAACGAATACATGAGTAAATACTTTAGTAACCAGAAAAGGAAGAAAAGGAAAGGTGTCAGCCCTTCAGTGCCTCCCAGTCAGTAGTGCGCTATTGCTAATCGTTGCTTAGTGGTGGGAAAATAAGGCTTGAATTGTCATATCATTTTGTGTTGTCCAGGATTAGGGATAACTCTGAGGAGTTCTCTAAAGTCGTGAGGTGAGTGGGAGTGAAAGTTCTTGAAATGACTTCAGTATTCTGTGATTTTTAATTTATTTGTTGGTGTGTTTGCTGTGAGCTTTATCTTGGCATCCATTCTCAATTCCCAGGCCTCCCCCAGCAGCAGTCATTAAGAACTCTTGATTAGCAATGAGCCTGTCCTGAGAAATGGCTCCTTTCTTAGCTGTAATCATAATTGTCGGTTGTGAAGAACCACTGAGCATGTGCATGAGTGTTTTGCTGATATCTGTATAATCAGAGCTCTCCACAAGGATTTACACACATGCAGTTTGACTTGAACTGATTGTCTAACCTTTATACATAGTATAACATTTTGTTGACTAAGGAGGCCTTTTAGCTTTGCTACACATTAAAACCATGCAGTGGGATTGTCCTTGTGGCCTAGGAGTGGGGGTAGAAAGGGGAAGAGACCATGCTGGGCTGGGTGTGTATGGGGTGTGGTGCGAGAGGCTGGTCTGGCCCCAGGTCTGGTGGAGGTTGTGGGACTTCAGGCTCTTCCTGGTCAGTCTCTAGCACCATCACACAGCATTTCTTTCTTTGCTCACTCTGCAGCCTCCATGTCCTCCTCCCCATCCCATTATTCATCCTCCCCATCTATATCAAGAGCTACCTACTATTTCCTGAAGACCAAAGGAATCCTGCTGATGCAGTGGTTATAGTGTGTGGCTGCTAACCAAAAGGCTGGTGGTTTGAATCCAGCAAAGCTGTGGGGGCCTGCTTCTGTACAGATGACAACCTTGGGAACCCCAGGGCAGTTCGTACCCCGCCCCATAGCTTGCTCCGAGTCTGAGTTGACCAGATGGTCATGAGGTTTATGGGTTATTGAAGACCAGGCATCGCAGTGGTGGCCGGCGTCGCAGGCTGACATTGCAGAATGGTGAATTTGAAATCCTGTTCTGTTGTGTGTCTTTAGGAGCCTCAAAGTGGGCTGCCTTTTCCATTTCTCTTTTCACTGGTTTCGATGGGCTGTAATCTGCCACAATGACCTTTTCTCTTTTTCTCCTTGGCAGCGTCTCTTGGGCAGCCAGCAGCAGCCTTCTGTCCAGCTCTGGGTCTCCTTTGGCCGGAAGCCCATGCGAGCAGCCCAGTTTGTCACCAGGCATCCTATTAATGTGAGTGGGCTTAGCCTGGGGGAGGGAGGAGTTCTGATGCTCCCATGCTGCGGTCACAGGGAGGGCTTCCTGGGGATGTACTGCTGGGAGGGTATCTGAGGGAAGACTCCAGAAACCAGTTTCTAGATCAGTCTCTAGAAAGAGCTACTATATTTGGGGCTGTTTCGCCTCTTCCCTGGCTGGAGTGGATTGAGTGGGGTGCATTCATGTGGAGAGAGTCGGCAGTTTGAAGGCAGAGTCTCCGGGCTTCGTGGGCCAGCACAAGTGGACTAGGGAGTCAGGCCCAGCGCAGCAACATAACTAAGTGCCCGTTGTATAGCTCATGGGTGTTGAGGACCCAAAGGGGAGGAGATTTGTGCCCTACATTTTCAAAACAGACAGATTGGATAGCCCAGGACCCAAAGGGAAGAGAACTACATAAACAACAACAGGGTGCATTGTAACTAATAGATATGGATGGGAAAGATCATGCTGGACCGAGGCTGTCAGAGAAATGACGCAGGGAGGACGTAGCATTTGAAGGTCTGGCCGTTCGCCGTTGGTGCCAGTGGAAAGTGAGGGACATGTGAGGACAGAGGACACCCTGGTCATTGGCCACCTTCTCAGGGTTCCACTCGCTGTTAGGGAGCAACAAAGGAAACGAGGTGCACATTCACCTCTGTTGGGATTTGCACTAATGAAAAGTGTCTTGGATCGAAGAGGGGCACATTAACTCACTCACTAGAGGTCTTCCATCATTTATGGAGTTCGGTGACCCCAGTTTACCCACCTGTGGATCTGCTCAGGTTCTTAAAGAGAAGAACAGGTTAAGCCTGCTTGCCAGCCCTGGGGAGCTTTGTGGGTCCCCATTCCTCCCTGGGGCCTCGGGCGTCATCGCGCTCGCTAGTGTGCAGAGAGCGAGCTCCCAGGGCCGGCGGGTTTGTGTTTGACTTTCGCATATTTTGAGTTTTGCTCCCACAGGAATATTACATCGCCGATGCCTCGGAGGACCAGGTGTTCGTGTGTGTCAGCCACAGTAACAACCGCACCAACTTATACATCTCCGAGGCGGAGGGACTGAAGTTCTCCCTGTCCTTGGAGAACGTGCTGTATTACAGTCCAGGGGGAGCTGGCAGTGACACCTTGGTGAGGTAAGGAGATGGCACCCCCCCCCCCCAACTTTCTGTACGTGTGCCGCCAAACCTGCGTTTCCCATCACCACCCACGTCAACACCACTGCACACCTCTAGTTCAGTGGTTTCCAACCACAGCTGTGCCCCCCGCCGAACTCACCTGGTGAGCGCTCACCTTCCTGGGTGGCACAAATGCTTTGCACCTGCCTGCTAGCCTACTGGCTGTGGGCAGTTTGAACCCACCCAACAGTACTGTGGAGGAAGGGCCTGGCAGAGGGCCTCTGTTAGGACAATGGCGGGGACAACTGTGGCACATTCTACTCTGTTACCTGGGCTTGCCGGGTGTTGGCAGTGCCTTGACGATAGTGTGTTTTGGTGGTGAGCTTTCAGGAGCCCTGGTGTGTGACTCACATGTCCCAGGCATACCGTTGATGGTTTATGGGTGAAGCCTGGGCACTGGGTTTGAGAAGCCCCCGGTTCTTCGGGGCAGCAGCCAAGGCTGAGAAGCGCTGTTCTGTGTGACGTATAGTGTGCTCGTCACTCTGTTAATCGTTCTCTTGGGCTCCATTTGTTCAGCTGCCTGGCTCTGGAGTGAGCCAGTGTGAACTGGGAAAACCCCCTGTATGCTGGGGGAGCTGGTGTGTGCGCCCGGGGTCCTGCTTCTAGTGGCTCAGGTAAATTGACAGCATTGCCCATTTTTCCTGGTGAGAAATTGCAGGGTGTTGGTCCTGTAGGGAGACCCTCCATCACTGATCCTTTGTCAGTTCACCTCAGTCTCAAAGACGGGGCTTCTCAAGCCCCCACAGCCGTCAAGGGGACTGCTAGGGGGGACAGGTGTCTTTTAAGAGCCCTGAACCCATTGGTTCTCAGATGCCATGCGACCTGTCAAGACTGTTGTGAGGTGCGCGACTGTGATGAGGATTACCCTCTGTCCATGGAAAGTGAGGTCTAGGTACACCGGCGTACTGGTCTGTGTGTGTGTGTGTGTCCGCATGCACTTGTGGCTCAGGAAGGTCTGGCATTGACAATGCCCTGCCACTTCACTGTCTGTCTACTCATGTTGAAATTCTTTTAGTCATCAGTTAATTCATAATCGATGTCGCTACATGTGCAGATGGAGCTGTAGGTGTGTAGCATTGTGTAATGTATATCCTACCAAAACCCCAACCTAATTCTTGTTCCGTGAAACTTATCTTCTCCTTAGAAGACTGGCTTTAACAAATAAGGAGAAAGGGGATTCTGAGGGTTTGTGTAGGTTTGTTGGGAAGTTATTCCCAAGGCAGGTGCTTCGGAGGGAGCTGGGCAGATACTTTCGGGAGGAGCACTCCAAGCAGAGGGACCACAAGCAAGGTGACTGGGCGGGTCTCTAAGGGGGTGTTTCGGGAGCTTTGAGGAGGTCGTGTACAGAGAGCTGCTGCGGGCGGAGGAAGGTGAAGCAGAGACAACATCCAGGCGAGCAGCTCTCGGTCAGTCACCAGGCCTCCAAGGGTAGACAAGAACTTACTCTTTTCTTCTTAGTGAGATGGGGGTTTTGACCAGTAGATGGACATCATGTGTTCTTTTTCATGATTTAAAATCCTGTGAATTGCATTATTTAGAGGGAAGTACTTGCAACTTAAAGAGATGGCACTAGCTATTACACGCCAACAGCTGTGTGATTTTTAAAAAAAACTTGTTCTTGCTGGTGTGTGGAAGTTAGACAACTCCAGAGGGTTGGGGTGGAAGTTGGAGGACCCATTGTGAAGTCTTTCAGCAGCTCTGGCCAGAGGGTGGGCTCAGGCAATAGTATTAGCAATGCTGGAAGTGGTCAGATGCTGAGTGTCTTTTAAGAGAGAGCCAACGGGACCTGCTGGTGGGTCAAGCAGCAGTGAGAGAAGCAGGAGTCCATGCTTGGCATGTGCAGGGCTGGAACGACTGCCACTGAGTCAGGTCGGGCTGGGCGAGGAGTAAATGATCAAGAGTTTGAGTTTGGACTTAATAAGCGTGGCAGTCCTGCCCTCTTTCGCTGTCACCGGGCAGCGCAGTCCCTGTGGGTTTCTGAGACTAACTCTCCGAGAGAGTAGAGACCCTCATCCTCCCAAGGAGCCAGCAGCTGCTGGTGGTTTCGAAGGGCTGGCCTGGGGGTTCACAGCCCAGTGTGTAGCTCACGACACCCTCAGGGCTCCTTGGGTAGGACAGATTGGTTAACACACTCACTGCTGACTGGAAGGCTGAGACTCATGTTGTCTTAGAGACACTTCAGGAGGAAAGCGCCGTGGACCCCTCTGTGGAATATGGGGTCGCGTGAGTCGGCGTGGACAGCGCCTCGTGGTTGCATCAGGTTGGAGTGAAGAGCTTTCTGATGGATGTCTGAAAGGGACGCACTTCCTGTGTCTCCTCCATCAGAGGGGATGCTGTCTTTGATTCCACTTTTAAAAATAATTGGAGTCATGAACAGTTGTTGCCCCAGGCTTTCACTCCCTCTTGTTTTCTCTTGTCAGCTTTGAAAGTCTCTGGTTAGAGGATGGATGGAGCTCAGCTTGTCTTCCTGCTTTGTCAGGAGAGTCAGGACAGGGCCGAGCGGAGCTAGAGGGAGAGGCTCTTCTGGAAGCAAGGACTAGCCTCCGTTGTATAGCCATTGGGTACCCTCGGCGAGCCCCCCATGTAGTTACAGTTACTTAGGGCATAGCCCAGCGAGGGAACTGAAAATAGGCTTACGGGGGGAGCAGCCGGGGGGAGTTATAGGCCTAGATCCCTGCCCAACTTTTTAATTGTTTTCCCTCAGATTTTTATCTCAGCATTGGAAACGTTCACATTTGCACGGCTAAGTGACCTTCTGTCATCTGCTTCTCCATCTCAGTGAACTGGAATAAGGGCGAATTAGCGGATTACACGGGCAGACTCATTGAAAATAGACCTCTGTGGTCTTTGAAACGGAGCCGTTCTGTGAACTACATAGGAAAGCACAGTGCCAAGGAACTAGTTCTAATTTACTTAGAGAACTGGAGAAAGCACTTATAATGGGGACGGCCTGGCTGTTGACGTGCCAAGTGGCAGTGCCGTGGAAGGCGGGCGTCTGCTGTTGGGCGGGTCGGAGGATCTGATGTGCTGACGGGAGGCCAGGCTTGTGGGAGAAGCCCAGACTGCGCGGGCTGGGAAGGACTGAGATGAGGATGTGCATGTCGTGTGTCTGGGGGCAGCCTGCTGAGCAGCCCAGGGAGTCCTGGCCAAGGGGACTCTGGGAAGCAGTCCTGAAGCGCTCCAGCTGCAGGCAGCTGGAAGAAAACACTTGCAAAGGGTATAGGGAGAGGTCAGGGAGGGAAGTCAAGGAGGGAGCAGAGACCTGGAAGCGGCGGAGTGAGGTGCGAGAGGACAGGCTTCTGTCTGGAAGGGCCAGCGAGGACATCAGGGATCCGGCCCGTTTTGACAGACCTCCCAGATGGACAGAAGGAGTCAATAGGACTCCCGAGAATGACCGACTTCCCGATGATAGACTAAATCCGTAGGGTTGAGGTAAGCAAAGAGTGGGAGATCACCAACCTCGCGCAGATTCTCAAAAGGAAACCTGAAAACAACCCGAGTAATCCCAGGACACTTCATGCCAGGGAATTTGGTCCACACTCTGGCATTTCAGTTGGGCATTCGCTCCGTGTCCCAGCTCGGAAGCAGGCCCTGCCCCCTGTCAGTGCTGCTCGTTTTCCCTGCCTTGCCTCCAGGCTGTCCTAGGCGTCGTTCTGTCTGCGGCGGTGGGCCAGTGGTTCGGCTGGGGAGACTTGTCCTGGTGGAGAACAGAGGCATGCTCAGCTCTCTGCTTTATTGCTGTGTCCATGAACTCCCAAAGCAAAGCGCGCCCTTCCAGTGTTAAAAGCCACCGTGTGTGAAAAGCTAACCTTTTTGCAGAGGCTCCTTGGCTTTGTGATGGTGTCGTACTCTAGAATCACACCAGTCTCCAGGGAGAGGCAGTGCCCTAGCACCCCAGGTAGCGTCTAGGAGGACTTTGGTCTCTGCTCCACGGTCTCCGGGGAGATCCCGAGCCTTCCAGAGCGGTCCATGCTGTATGCAGTGCTTCTCTGGGGAGGCATGAGTGAATTTCGCTGGACGTTGATAGAAACCCTGTGGGCTTCTATCTGAAAAGTACTAGGTAATTCAGGCTATCGGAGCCTAACCCTTACCTGTATTCCTGTGGACTGGGGTCAGTTACCAGCTTCAGCATTCTTAGTGCTTGTGAGCCTGGCTTAACATTCTCTCACTGTCTAGACTCCCAGGAAGACTTGCAGTCAGTTTTGATAACAGAGTTATAGAGGTCAACTTTTGTATATTATATTCATTATCCTAACCTCCCTAGGGTTATTAATGAGGTAAGCATGTTGGCTCTCAAAACGTTTTTCAAACTTAAAAAAAAAAATCAGTTTCAAACAATGCCAACTACTATCAATTCACATGTATACTTGTTTATTCTCTCTTATTGTAGGTACTTTGCCAACGAACCCTTCGCTGACTTTCATCGCGTGGAAGGGCTACAAGGTGTATACATTGCTACCCTGATCAACGGCTCTATGAATGAGGAGAACATGCGATCCGTCATCACTTTCGACAAGGGAGGAACGTGGGAGTTTCTTCAGGCCCCCACTTTCACAGGATATGGAGAGAAAATCAATTGTGAGGTACAGACGTGTGCTTTTCTGGGGGCCTTGAATATAAGGGAAGCAGCTGCAGTTGGCAGTAGTTGCCCACATCTAGGACTTACTGGAAAATGCAGGGATGGATAGTTTCCCACTTAGTGACGCCATATGGAATAATTCTTTTTCCTTTATATCCTTGTAGTTCCCGAACTCTGGACTAGGCATCCTGGGGTGCTGTTGTGAAAGTGCAGGATCAACATGGGATATTTTAAAATTATGAGGGAAAACAACCTGTTACTCCTAAGTGTTGGTCAAAAATCCAAACAAAACCACCTTTACAGGGGCTGACAGCCTCTTCTTTTCCCAAAGGAGCATGGTGGGTTTGAACCACCAACCTTGCAGTTAGCCTAGTGCCTACCCCACGGTGCCACCAGGGCTGCTTGCATGTATCGGTAAATTTCTAGCTCGAGTTAGTTCACAGATTTAACCTTAAGTCATGCTGCATTTCTTCTGATGACATCGCACCTTTGTGACGCTGGGGTTTTAGCAACTGATGTGTTGAAAATGGTCAAGGTGAGATGGTCAAGGTGAAATAGGAAATGAGTGTGTGTTCGTCTGGGTTAACTAGGGAAACAAATCCACAGAAACTCATATATGTATAAGAGAGAGTTTTATGCAAAGGGTAAGTGTACATTAAGAAGGCATCCAAACCCAGTGCGGTCCAAGCCCATAAGCCTAACATTAGCCCATATGTCTGACACCGATCTTCAAAGTCCTCCTCCATCTCACAAAACACATGCAATGACGCCAACTGCGGGGAGGACATCTGAATCAGTGAACGTGTAAGCATCTCAGTGCTGGCAGGGGTCCCCACGCGGATGTGGCTTCTCCTCAGGGATGTCTTGCAGGAAGTGAGCATTGCCAGCTGAAGCAGGGAACTGGCTAAGGCAGCTACACTCTGGTCCGACCATCACAAAACAAGAGACCCGAGAACTAGAAAGGCGAGGCTCACCACCCATTTATCCCTCCGCCTTTCAATTAGCCCCACATGGTTATCAGCCAGGCTGGCACAATTAACTAACTCACCCACTGACACTGAGTGGATCCCAACTCCGAGGCCCCCTGTCTGGCAGAGTAGGACTGTTCTCCAGGGATTGCCAGGCTGTCAGCCTCTAGACAAAGCTGTCTCTCTCATGAGGAGCGGTTGGTGGGGTCCCGCTGCTGGCCCTGAGGTGAGCAGCCCAACGTGTGAGGAATGATTGGAATAAACCAGAGTCCCCGCTGCTGTGGAGTCAGTTCGGACGGCGGGCACACGTGCATTTCAGGGTCGAGCCGGGCTCTGTGCGACCTTCAGGCCTGTAACCTTGGCAGTAGATTGCCAGGCCTTCCTTCAGAGATACCTCTGGGTGTACGTGAACCACCAACTTTTGGTTAGCAATTGATGAGAGCTTAACTGTTTCACCGCTCAAGGGCTCGTTGAAGAAAAACAAAAAACAAAACTCAAAGCCACGGAGTCCAGGCCGACTCATGGAGATCCTACAGGACAGGGTCAAACTGCTCCTGCGAGTTTCTGAGACTAACCCTCCACTGGGGTAAAAAGACCCAGGGATTAGACCTGTTTAACATGGGATTGCCTGAGGGACAGACAAGCTTAAATACATTGGCATCTTTGCAGGCAACATGAAGTCAGAAAAGGAGAACGGTCCAGTAAATAATTGAGACCCAACCAAATTTTCACTTGCCAAACTGTGACGCTAAAAGATGTCCTCTTAACTGGAGAGAGCCGCTTCTGCGATCGAAATAAGTCTTAAGTAGCGAGCCGAGCCCTGAACAGTTGTCATCTGTACCATAAGCATCCTCTGTGATGCCTTGTCTAGAAGTCCACACACAGTGCATCGATGGTCACTTTTTGCCTCGGAGAACTGGCCCTGTCCTCGTTGACCGCGGCACTCCCGAGAATCCAAACAGGGGCGAGGGTGGCCGGTTGCGTAGCTTAAGCCTCCTCATGTCGGACACCGGCCCCTTCGTGTGTGTGCGCTGACCTCTCCCCTCCCGTGATTTACTTGTCCGTGGTAGCCTCTGCCAGCTCAGCAGCCTGCACGCGTGCAGCCCCTGACATCCGGCGAGCTCCCTGTACAGACGAATCTCTCCAAAGTATCATTTGAATCCTTCCAACATGGTGGCCTTTTGCTGTTTGGATGTTGTAACCATTTGTGTGGGAGCTTATCAGAGCGATCTTAGAACTTCGGGGGCTGGGTTTTTGCCTTCTGGCAGAATTGCTAAAAACGTATTTGTACGGACTTAGAAAATAAATGCCAAGAAATCTCATTTCCCTTTAGCTCGGAGGCACTTGAGAGGCCATTTGGGAGACAAGGGGAGAGTGATACCTCTCCTGTTTGCCTGTGTTGACACTGACTCTAATTGCTCTCGGTTGAGCATTTCAGAAGGGCTTTTGAGAAATGACTTTGATTTTCCTCTTCAGCAGGTGACACGGTGCGGTTTCACGGTATCGTCTCCATCTGGGGCAGTGTGGAGACAGCCCGACCTGGAGTTGGGCTCCCCGCTCGGTGTGGACCAACAGTGCCCGCACCCGGGCCTCCAGGCGCCTCCGTGGCATGTGCTGACTCTCTGTCTGTTCTGTAGCTTTCCCAGGGCTGTTCGCTCCATTTGGCCCAGCGCCTTAGCCAGCTGCTCAACTTCCAGCTGCGGAGAATGCCCATCCTGTCCAAGGAGTCCGCCCCGGGCCTCCTCATCGCCACTGGTGAGTGAGCTCGGCTGGCTCTCCCATCAGGAATAGGCTGTGTGGTTTGGGGTGGCCAGATGTGGGGTCACTGCCCACCTCTCCCAGGAACCTGTTTGCAGTTGTCAGACAGGATTTGTTGTGTGTGGCCGGGGTGAGCTGCTGTCCAGCACCCCCACCGCCACCCCCACCTGTGTTGACTCCATGCATATAGGACAAGATGGTGCCCCTGATTATTGTGGACCAAATTAGTATGACTTTGGGGGAATTCATTGTTGGAAGTAAATTGCCAGGCCTTTCTTCCTAGTCTGAAGGACTTGTTGAAACCTATTCAGCAGCATAGCCACGCGCAAGTCTCCGGGGATAGAGTGGTGGCGGCGGCGGCATAGGCTGGGAATCGAACCTGAGTCTCCTGCTTGGAAGGCAAGGATTCTACCACTGAACCACCAGTAGTTGTTGCATAACCAAGGCAAACCCATGCCATTGTGTCAATTCCTATTCGGAGCAACACTATGTAAGGTGTCTGAGACCGTGCTTCTTTACTGGAACACACAGCCTCATATGCCTCCCAGGGAGAAATTGGTGGATATGAACTACTGACCTTGCAGTTAACAGCCCAATGCCTAACCTGCAGCGCCACATGGTACTCTAAATTTCTAGTTGGACAAGGGGATTATTTGACACATTCTTGCCATTGAGAGTAATCGTTGCTCTTGCATTTTAGGTTCCGTGGGGAAGAACTTGGCAAGCAAGACCAATGTGTACATCTCTAGCAGTGCTGGAGCCAGGTGGCGAGAGGTCAGTGTGTCTGTCTCCACCCTCCACCCCCACCCTGGGCTTTGATTGCATGAGCCCGTGGCCTGTGACTTGCCATTCCAGGGACACAGGTGGCCCCTGGTGAAGAGGCCACTGTTGCAAAGCATGACTATAAAATATTAAGAATTAGAGGCATGCACAAGAGTCGGCTGCACTGGTTTGTTTCCACGCCTTAAAAGGTGGACTTGTAGTGCTGGCAAAAATGTTACTTTCAGTCTCAGACTTCCATTGGATTTTTTTTTCTACTGCCCTTTACAAAACACTGTGCTTAAGACTTTTTAATATAAACCACCATTCTGGATTGGCTAACGTTTGGAGTAATGACACACATGTAGCAATGGCCTTGCAATAGGAAGCTTGCTGTCTATTGTTTTTTTTAACACCACTGTGCATTTGATGAAAAGATTCAAGATGATTAAAGGTATAGGAACAAAGATGATGTGTGTTTTGCTCACATCTTTTACCCCTAGGACCTAGCAAGGATTTGGAAGGAGGTCTGCTAATTCAGCATTTGCTAGACCTGCCAGCAAGGGACAGTGTCCTCGATGTGCTGTCAGAACCCGAATTGGTTGTTTTGGCCCAAATGGTACCGAAACTGCAGCCCGGCCTCTCTGCTTGCTGTGTCACGCTATCTCGGCCATTCCAGCTTCTTACGTGCTACAGGGAAAGACCCCTTTCACCCTCAGAAAGGCTAATGTGGCCCTGGACATTGGAGAATTCCATAACTTGTAAAATATTGTTTAAAAACATTTTTTTTAAGCCAGTCTCCTGAGACGTGTTGAAGTCTCCTTACTGTGGGGAGCTGGCTTCCAGTGGCACGGCCCTGCACATGCAGGGAGCCCCTGGGGCTCTTGCCACAGGGTTTGGGGAGCACCCTGGATGAGCAGTATGTTGGGTCTGATGTGGAGTTCCCCAGACAACTCGCCGGCGGTGTTCTCATAACAAAATGGACTGCGCGAGGCTGTCACAGTGCTTCACTTTTCTTGGCTCCTCGTTGTTTAGAGACCTGTCACATAGCATGTTACCTGTGTGGGAGGGATCTCCCTCCAGATTGAAGCATGGTGTATGTGCGTGTGCAGGCGCATTCAGTTCCATATATTATGATAGAGAATATAAGTACACATTTAGATGAAGAAAGCTGCTGAAGCCCAGAGTAGTCAAAAAGTGCGAACCTGGCGACCACTCCAACTCTTAGGTAAGGGGATCGCATTTGAAGATTCTGGGTGGAGTGGGAGGAAATGTGGAACAAAACTTAGAACTATAAAAAGACCAAGCTTCCTGGTTGACGGAGTCTGGTGGGACCCCTAGACTGGTCTTAGTCATCCTTGAGGCCTGGAACTGAACTTGCTTCCATGGCTCAGTTGTCAACCAATGGGCAGGTCTCTAAGGGGAACAGTAAGATTAGGGAGGAATGATCTCCGTGGAATAATCAACCCTTTACGATCCAGAGGATGTCATTTACCCAGACAGAGTTCAGAAGGGTAGGGAAGGAGGGATGAAACATGAAACACCTGGGGGAAGTGGGACACGTGATGCTAATCAGTGACATGGAACAAAATGTGTGTGGATTATTGAATGGAAAACTGATCCGCTCTGTAAACCTTTGTCCAATTCACAAGAAAAGAGTTCTCTCACATCCCTCACCTCTGTCCCCCCAAGTATGAACAGATTGGAATTTTCATGCCACATTTTCTCCTTCCCTGGAGCCAATATTCCTTTAGAAATTGGGTGTTTGCTTCTCTGTGGATTGGCTGTGGTTTGCTATACCTTCTGATACTGGTGTAATCTGGGATTTGGACATCTGCAAGTGATTTCCTTCTGGGTGGAAGCAGCGTCTTGCTCCTCCTCCAGTGAGGTGGGGTCATGGGGTTGGTGTAGGGGCGCAGGGCAGCTGCCAGAGCCTCCCTTGTGTGCTTTCACTGCCTGCCAAAAAGCAGCCACCCCACAAGGGACCTGGGGTTTGGAAGTACTTTGTCAATGTGGGGAAGGTCCTTTTTATTCTGAGCTTGTTGGCAATCTCTAATCACAATCAGGAACTCGTTTTTTGCCAAATGGCATTACAGCATTTATTAAAATGATAATATGGGGTTTCTTATTATCCTGTTAATATAGTGCATCACAGTACTTGATTTTTGAACATTGTGGCATGTGCACTTGTGCGCGCGCGCGCGCACACACACACACACACACACACACACACACTCATCCTCGAGTTCATTCCGACTCAGTGACAGTAGAAGTCCATATATATGAACTCCCTGCTGTCGACTCAATTCCGACTTAGTCATCCTCAGGGTAGGCTAGACCGTCCCCTGGAAGTTTCCGTTCTCCTCCCATCTTTCATATCTATCTCTATCTCTATCTATATCTAAAATCACAGTTTAAAGAAAACTTTCTGCTGTGTATATATAGCAAAACAGTTGCCACTTCTCAATAATCTACAAATGTACAGTTTAGTGACATTAATTAAATAAATGGTCATCATGTTGTCCAATCATATCTGTCCATTCTCAGATGATCCACTCACTTTCAACAGAAGCGCAGTCCCCTAAAGCATTGAATCCTCTTTTCTTCTCTCCACCTGCCCGTGGTAACTATGAATGATCCGTGGTACCTATACACTTGCCCATTCTAAAAATTTCTTATGAGTGGGATCATACAATATTTGCCCTTTTATGACCAACTTATTTTGCACAGCTTAATGTTTCAGGGTTCGTCCGTTCTATAGCATGTTTCAGGGCTTCATTTTGGCTGAATAATACTTTATATTCAGTACATACCACATTTTATTTACCTAGTCACACATCTGCTTGTTGACATTTTGGGTCTTGTGACTAGGGCTGCAGTGAATGTTGATGAATCCCAAACACCTCGTTCCACTTTCCCTTCTGGGTGCTAACCTAGCAGCGGAATTGCTGGATCATTTGATAATTCTATTTTAACTTTTTGAGGAACTTGCAACTGTTCTCCTCAACAGTACATTGTTGTTGTGAATGTCAAACCAGCCTTGAATTACTAGCATACATTACTTGGTTGTGATGTAGAGGGGGCTTCAGAAAGTGCTTGGGGAAATGGAATGGAAAGAAAATGGAACTTTTCCCAAACTTTTTGAAGCACCCTAGTATTTTCCTTTTGTATCTAGTTGGGATTGATTTGGCGATGCCTGAAGGACTTTTGCATTATTCGTGAATGAGAGCTTGATTTCTGTAATGTCTCTGTCAAGCTTTGGTATTCAGGTTAGGCTGCTGTCGTAGGACACGCTGAGCAGGGATCCGCCTCTGTTTGCTAACTATGTGAGGTTGGTGTTACTATCTTGTCACTAGTGAAAGAATCCGGACTTGCATTCTTTACTTGGGAATTGCTTCGGTAACAGACTAACTTGTCTGGTCGATAGGAAAATGGTCGAGAGTTCTGTCTTGTTGGTTGCAGAAACCCCAATGTCCCTGTGGTGGTTGGGGGAGCAGTCTACACGTGCTGACCACCTCCTGACTCCCCTGGGGGGACCCTCTGAAAGAGTTCCTTATCGGCCCAGTGTTGGGCAGATGCTTGTCAGTGGGGGGCTTGTGACCTTCCGTACAGACCCCAAGGGAGTTCTGCTTTGTTTTTATCAGGGCCTCGCTGCCCCTGTCATGTGTTGGGTGTGGACGGAGCCTTTACTCAAAATGTCTGCTTCTTACTATACAGCAAGTGGCCTCAGCAGTGCAGATGGACCTGACCTGAGCCCCTGGGAGGTCGGTGCTGTTTGCTTTAGAGGCTCGAGCTGTAGCATGTTGGCTGTAAGAGTGTACTCCACTCCACGTGCCGTCTGGCGAGTCTCAGTAGGCTTGCTCAGGCACTGTTGGGGTGGGAAAGGTGTTGGCACTGTCCAAACAGACCCCTGGAGGGGGCTGCCTTGTTGATTTGGGTTCCTGTCTCTGTGTAGGCAAGGGCTTTAGTGGTTAGGGAAGCAGGCACTTTTCCTGCGGGCACTTTCCCGGTCACCACAGCCGGTGGCCCGTGGGGAGGGCAGGAGGTGGGCAAAGCGATTTGCCTGCTCTATTTGATTTGTTGTGGATTTGTCAATTTCTTGCCCATCTGCCGTTTCCCACAGCTGCCCTCTGCTCTCCGATTCAGAGTGCCTCAAAGCTGAGCACCCTATCCTTGTCTTGAGGGGTCTTGCTTGTGCCACCATCTCCCCAGAATTTTATGGTGAGTTTTCTCATCTTTGTATTTGTGCCAAGTGCATTTCTTTCCCTCAGGGCACATGGCTACATTGAAGTCTTTGATCATCGGATTGTTTTGTGATTGGCACCTGGTGTTGTCTCTTACCTTAAGGATCAGATGGATCTTTATTTTTCAAGTTGAGGACATTTGGGCTGGATCCTGGATTTGTGATGTTGTATTGTATTGCCTGTCTCATGCTATAATCTTCAGAAGACTACTTGATTTCAGACCATACGTTTTGTCTTGCCTTCCGTGGATGGTAGCTCAAATCTCACTTCAGCTCTCTGAGCCTTTACTCTTAATGTCTGCGTTTGTTCCCTGCATGTGTGGTTTGGGGCGTGGCTGGGACCTGTGTGTGTGCATACATATTATTGTTAGGTCTTTCTCGTTGGAGAAATATACCTCGGTCCTTGGCTTTGCACGAGAAAGAATCCACGCCGAAGCCTGGTTTGTGATACAGGAACTTGCTCTGCCTATCCCGAGAGTTGTTGGAACAGATGAGCGCCCTGTGTATATGTTGAGCTCTGTGAACGGAATCAAGGCTAAATTCAAGTGGTTGGTATTCCTGCTGTGTGTGTGTGTGTGTGTGTGTGCGGGTGTGTGCGCAGCGTGTGTGTGTGTGTGTGTGTGTGTGTGTGTGTGTGTGTGTGTGTGTCTGTCTGTCTGTCTCACTGCTGCAGGCACTT